CTTCTTTAGATGTTGTGCTAATGGATCACAAGTCATTCGGTTCGTATTGGCGGTGCATAGAAGACTTGAGCAGAGTGGATGACTCTCGAGAAGGTTCTAATGAGTTCACGATTTATAAGTGGTATTTGAGGATTTCCAAAATTTTTAAGTGGCTATGTTCTAAGATTTGCATTGCATGGTGTCAAGATTTGCGGTATTTCTTTATCATTATTAATTCTACATTTTAGCATTAGAGAGGTTAAAGAAACTACTTCAAACTCATAGAAGGTCTGTCCATAGTATGTATCTCGGTTGCGGTACTATTGGGTGACTTAGAGGGAAATAGGGATTTATGGGTCTTAAGATGACGTGATTTCATGCCAGGATCCCTTGGGGTGAGCTTTGGGCTAAGGATCGTAGTGTACTGAAAAGGAGAAGTGTTAACTTGAAGGCAAGTCGAGAGGAACTCAAAGAAATAGGTCAGCTTAGTAGTGGTTTGGATCAACGTAATAATGAAAGTAATTGATTCTTTCGGTGAAGCAAGCTTTACATGTGTTTTCTAGTAATAATGTTGGGTTAGGCGATTTACGTGACTCGGTTGAAGTTAGAGGGATTCAGTTCCAATGGCTTGGTTTTGTGCTAATGGGTCTCGAAGAGTTTTCAATAGCTTCGACCATGACTTGAGATAGATGTCTTCTACAAGCATGGAGAGTTTGTTGTGTATTGTGATTTTTCTCCTTCACGGGGTCAAGTGGAAGGTTTATGGTTGATGGAGTGTCTATCATGCTTGTGATTCAGAGTTGATAATGAAATTCTCGTACTTTTCTTATGATGGCTTAATAGATACGGTGCACCATGTGGGATTGATATTGCATGTATAAGGTTGCGATTCGATTTCGAAGGTAAGGCCATGAGTTCTAGAAAACATGGACGGTTTCAGATGTTTAGAAGAATGCTACCACTATTTCGTATCACCTAAGAAGGATTCGCATTTCAGAAGGCGCATTATATTTTTACTTGTGGATGCTTGACTAGTATTACGATAATCGCTTGGTTGTTCATTGCTAACATTCAGATTTTGTTACGTGGTGGGGATGATTCATGGGAGTGTTTCTTGTGAAATAATTGTGTATGAGGGATATGTCAGCCAACTGAGTGGTTGAGTTAGAATCGGATACGAAGATCTTTGTATTCTTAGGATTTGGAGACTGGAATTCTCAGAGGTAGACTATTCCTTGGTTGTGGACTACGAAGATATGACCAGAGTTAGACAGCTGATGGTACATGTTATGGATAGTTTACTGTGGATATTTGGAAGGTTATTTACCTATTTCGGGAGGATCAGAATTGGTTTAGGGGCCCATTTGGAGGCCTAATTAGAATTTGTATTCTACATCGGATTAGGTTTATTTACTCAGCACAACTATTGTTATGGGTATGTCATCAACTAGAGTTGATATTATTCATGTCCTACTGTGCTTCATGTATTACTCTCTTATGCTACGATGGGTTGTGAGGTTGTTGATATTTACTTAGATAATGTGGTGTTGCTCGAGCCTTGTGGCGAAGTTTGAGTGAGCTGGCTCTTAAGATGTTGAGTTGCTTATTGCACTTTGTCGTATTTTTCCTGTTTGTTGTATGTGGTGCTATCTATTTCTTTATGGTTATTGTCATACGCTTCGTGTGTTTACTGTTGATACANTATGGTCATACGCTTCGTGTGTTTACTGTTGATAATTATTTAGTTGTTGATTGTAAACATTATAGCTCGATTGGTGTTCTATGTGGATCGTTAAGTGTGGATCAGACTGTATGCAGCAACGAGGTGATGTTAGGATGAGATTCTTTATGGTTATTTCATTTGTTTTGCTTCTCCCTTGTGGGATGGATTCATAGTATGGTGTCATTGGGGTTGTACCTGTTGTACTTGTCGGATAGTTCTCTTATTTCGTTCTCCTTCCATCATTTGTTATATTTGAGTCGTTGCTTAAGGGCACGCATATTGCATCGTATGTGGCTCCAGGTATCATTGGTGTGGCCTGTTAGTCGAATAGCTTGCATTGGGTGAAATGAGATTTTTGGACTTGAAATTTGTGCCATTATATTTGGTTAAGGTATGTTTGGAAAAGTAAGGTCACTAGTCAGCTTAGAATTTGATTATGGTTCTCGACATGCGAGAGAGCTCCAAAACTAGTTCATCTGACGGGTGAGATGAGTTTTTACATGTTTCTTTCATCATTAGCAGTGTACGAAGGTTTAGAACAAGGTTTTATATGATATGAGGTATGTTGCTGGTATCATGTATAGTAATGAGCAGCTATTCTGGTCAGAAGGTATTACTATGAGTATCTGAGTTATGTGGTATATCATGTAATTATATCAAGCGATCCTCATTTAGTAACATTATTATTAAAATTTGTGTTGATGGTATTATTTTTGGAAGCGCTAACCCTGATTTATGCAAGGACTTCTCAAACTTTATGCAAAACAAATTCAAATTGAGTTTGATGGGAGAACTTGCTTTCTTCCTTGGACTTCAAATTCATCAATTAGAGAAAGGTATATTCATATTCCAAACAAAATATACCAAGAAACTCATCAAGAAATTTGGAATGGAAATGCAAAATCAATCGAAATACCAATGAGTCCATCATGGTCCTTAGATAAGGATAAAGGATGAAAAACCATGGATGAAACCAAGTATCGTGGAATGATTGGTTCTTTACTCTACTTAGCCGCTGCTCGACTAGATATCATGTTTAGCGCATGCAAATGTGCTGGGTTCCAGTTAGTTCCCAAAGAATCTCATTTGATTGCAGTCAAAAGACTCGTTATCTTGTTGGAACCACATCATGTGAATTAAGGTATCCTCGTTCAAACAATTTCAAATTAGAAGGTTTTCTAGATGCAGATCTTGGAGGTGACCAGGATGACAGAAAAAATACTAGTGGAACATGCCAACTCATTGAAAAATTTATAATTTCTTGGAATAGCGAAATTAGAGTTCTGTAGCATTATCTACAATAGAAGCAAAATATAATTCTATAGTACAATGTTGCGCCCAACTACTATGGATGTCACATCAACTTAATGATTATGATATTCTTTTTAAACCAAATCAAATTTTTTGTGATAATTCTAGTGCTATCTGTTTATCAAAAAATCTTGTGCATCAGTGTTGGACAAAATATATAGATATTAAGCATTATTTTATTGAAGATCATATGATAAGAGGGGAAATTAAAATTTTATTTATTGGAATGTTGGATCAGTTGGCAGATATTTTAACCAAACCCTTGCTTGAAGAAAGGTTTGGTACACTAAGAAGTGCTCTCGGTATTATTTCTAATTCTCATTAATTTCTCACTTATTTGGGGCATAATATATTCTATTGCATTATTTCTATGATTGCATATATTCCCTTTCCTGACTTAAAAAATTTGCCTCAACACTTCATTAATTACTTTCCCTCCTTTTTGCACCCTTTCATTTCTTCAAGACACGTCTGTTCGGACGTGTCTTTTCATTGACACTTCTAATTAGTCTCTCTTCTAACCTTCATTTAGCTCTCCTGTCAGTATCTATAATTACTCTTATTTTTCTCCGTCACACTCACTTCTCTCATGACTATTCCTTTGTCTCTCATAAAATCCTCAAAAATTATGGCCAAAAATTCCAAGAACTCTGCCCCATATATGTGCAAAAGCTCGCGGAATAAGGCAAAATCAACCCCTCAAAACCACAAACTTCTTGATCTTGACTATCTCCAGTCTAAGGAATTTGTCTCCTCTACGGTTAAACCCTCCGACGATGTTCGAAGTCGAGAAAGAAAAGCCCTGAAACGACCAATGGAAGACCTTGAGTCCATCTCTCCAAAAAAGGTTAAATTTGACCTAGATGGCCCGTATGATTCTGACATCAACTTCTGGGACACCCCGAATTGAGACAAGAACATTGCGTTGAAGGAGAAACCTATTGTACATGGAAAAATCATCGATCTTGAAGACATGGAAAGCAAAAATTGCAAGGTAAACGATTTTTTCGAATTTTAAATATGGAAAAACATACTTACTCAAGCCCCTCCCAGAGTTTTTAAACTTTTGTTCGAATGTTCTATACCAATATTCGATCCCAAAACTTGATAAAATTGAATCCCTGGTTCTTGGTAAATACATTGTTCTTGATTTCTCTAGTTTTGATTCCATCTTCAATTGCAAGTGCTCCGGATACGCCACTCTGTTTAAGAACTCTTAGCTAGATGATCTTGAAGTTTCGATTGAACAATCAAAGAAATACATTGCTAAAGCATCCACTGACCCTCTCCCAAATCAACTAGGCCAAACAATATCAATTTTGAAACCAGAATTGTTGCTACCACTATTCTTCCTAAAAGAGCTTCCTTTTCTACTCTGTCTCAGCCAGATATATTCCTAGCCTACTTCTTACTCGCTAAAGACAGGGTCAAACTCTTGTCCTAGGTGATTTACGTTTTGCTCGAAAGTGCTGATGACCCAACTAGTCTCCCATACAACATGATCATCACCCGTCTATTGGAAGCACATCAAAATCTCTCTCAAACCTTCCGTTCCTTCTCGTGCCTAAGTGTTATAACTCTATAGACTTTGTTAACATGGGGTACATATCTACGGAAGGAATATAGGTGAAGAAGCATGAGACCGAAGGCAAGACCATAACAACCCACTCCAAGGCAAAAGCTTCAACCTCTCACTCATTTGATCCAGAACTCTCCGCAAGATTGGTGGAGAGATAAAAAATTTAAAACTGTCAAGGAACTTCTTGCTGCTACCAGACAATGGTGGAAGACATCAGGGAAATATAAAAGGAAGCCAAATCTGATACCTCAAAAATTCGAGTCAAGTTGGAACGAATGGCACAGGAGCCAGTTGGTGCATTCAGGGAAGTGCATGACTGTATTGATTGATGGAATCTCAATCATCATGACAGCAAACTATCATCAGGCTGAAAGACGCCATCTAATACACCTTACTTACTTCCTTTGTTGATTTTGTATGGTTGTTTTAACAATTTATATTTTTTGGTATGTTTTGTGGATGTTCTGAACACTCAGTAGCTTAGTCGACTACATGGTGCTTAGACTTATGTTTTTTCTGATCTTAGATAATTACTTAAGTCGGGTGCTTCCATGGTTAAGTTAGCTACTTATATGCATATATTATTATCTCTTCTGTACTTTTATTTTTGTTGATGCAAAAGAGGGTGAGGAATTATATCAGGAGGAACATCAATTCAGGGGGAGCACATACTCAAGGGGAAAAGATCCACACGCTCATGTCAGGGAAGTATCGTAAGTTGATCATCCTTAATTAATGTTCAAATTATTATCATCAAAAGGAGGGAGATTGTTAGCCTTGTTTTAATAATGACATCACTTGTAAAATTGCAGGATCATATTGATGAAGGACAATTCACTTGTGCAAAAAGAAAAAGGAAAAAAAAGAATGTCTGTCGCACGAGGAAAAGTAAGACAGTGGATCATAAGGAAAGAGAGTCAATCAAAAGCTGGAAGTTAGCAACTTAACAAGGAAAGAAGAATCCGAAGAATCAATCAAGAGCTGAAAGATAGCGGCTTACATGGTAAGAAGAATCAATCATTCAATAAGAAATCCCGCCAGCACAAATCAAGCAATTGATGGAGTTTATTTACTAAGAATGACCTAATTCAAAGCAATCCAGAAAGGAAGCATATATGTGAAAATTAAGCAGCATCTTGGAAGGCTTCAACTTTATTTTTGGAATATCTTTCAAAGACCAAATCTCTTGGTTGTCATCTCTCTGTCAGCAGTAGATTAAGGAAATTATCTGCTGAATATTTATAACTCCAACGGCCTCCTTCTGTGTATTTAAAAAGATGAAGTACTCCATGACAAGATATACTTTCATCTAACTAATATCAAGCTCTTTGTTCTACTCTTAGCAAGCATTGTAATTTCATTGATTTACTGTGTAAAGAGAGATAGAAAGAGAGGGGAAACATTGTATCAAAATCTTAGAGAACAAGATAGTGACGTGCAAAGAAGTCACAAAACCCTCTTGTAACAAAGTTTGATAAGGAGCCATCATAGAGAACCTCATCCAACCCAAGGGCTGGACTACGATTCATATTGAATCCAAACTAATATAAAATATTATCGTTCAATTTTTTTTAAATTTTTTTAATTCATTTTTGCAATTTATCATTCTGCAACACACTAATAGTTAATATTAGTACCATAGTCAACTATATTGGTAAAGTAGTTGACTAAAGGACACAGAAGTCAAAAAGGATTACAATTCATCCCCTTGTACTTTTAGATATGTAAATGGCTTTTAAGACAAGTTTAGGAGGAACTTATGTCTTTTTCCTTAAATAAATTATGATTTTTAGGGTATATATGTTTCAATTGCATCTCCCTTTATATATTTCTACTTGATAAAATTAAACGTGAAGAATGCTCTTACCCTTCCTATTTAAATTTCCGTTGTTTTATGAAAATTTCCGTTGAAAAATGTTTGTCATATTCACTAACTCATAACCGAATATTTACGTTTCAGTAGTAGTGAAACTTCGACCCTGCAGGTCCGTTGAATAACAAAAGAACTAGAATTATAACTGTATATTTTACCCAGGTACATGTACAGACCTTTGAAGTCATTGTTCTGACTTTCAGTGCAGTTTCGGGCTCGAATGCATTCGCCTATATTTGAGCCTATAATACTGTCCACCTGAAAAACATTTCATTTAAAAACTTTAAATGGAAAAAGGAAGGCTAGCACATAACTAAATAGTTGAGTTTAATATCCATTGATACTTTAAAAGAAGCCTTAGTCACCTTCTACAAGTGAGATAAATTATAACCTGGAAAAACTACAGCTTAAATATACTGAGAGCATATTGGGTCAAACTTCTAAAAACTATTTATTTTGAGAAGTAGAAATAGTATTTCACCTAAGTAATTTTCGATAGAAGCGGTTGGATTTGATCAATTTTTTAGAAGTATGTCTTTCTGTATCTAATAAACAAATTGTATTTGGTCAATTTTTCCAAAAAGTACTCTAGTGTAAAAAAATATTAGCATATAAAGTAATTCCAAACTAGTTTAAATAACTTACCATATATTCTATTAAATTAGGTGGCCTATGAGTAATTCGAGAACAGCTTAATTCAAGATTAAACTTACACCTAGTATGTGCACATTTTCAAATCATTGCAGTGACCTTCAAACCAAACATGGTGGAGGAAAAAGTAACTACTAACTGGAAACAAATGCATGACTGTCTAACATATCTGATAACTATCAAATGCTGACATCACGGTAAAAAAAGGCGTCTTGATATCTTGTTGTATGTTTTCTGGGAAGAAACACTGCAGTGTATTGGTAATTTGTATAATTATTCCAAGGGCAAAAGAGGACGCAAAATAACAATTGAATCAAGCTAGGAAGCAAGACGTACCAATTCTGGTTTCATTTTTGAAGTGCATGATTTTGGTAACACTTTGATAGATCCCTGCAACTCAAGTAAATAGGTTTAAATATCAGATCTAACCTTAAATCAACAGATATGTATTGGTAAAAACAAAAATAAATAAGAAGAGATAGGATTAATATACATGTAAATTAACCACATCTCTAAAGAGTGACTCAAACACATTTGCTAGACATGGATTTTTCCTATTAAAAATAAGATGCTCAACGTTAGATATATAGCATTTACGGTCATTTGCTATATGGGAAATTTAAAATTCTTATATATATATATATATATAAAGTAACCGGCATCAACCAAACATTTCACTCTATGTGCTTTATGGAATAAATTGTGAAAGCGATGACAGTATAACACTGTTGGATATCCATTAGCAGAACCACCGGAAAGAATGGTCTGTATTATTAATCTCTCTTAGTATGTGAGATGAATCGATTACTAAATAATATTGCATAATCTCAATATGAAACCTAATATACTGAAAATAAAATTTTAGTTATAATTTAGATTTACATACATTCTTTGCATCCTTTAATCCTCTTGCTAACAAATCCTCAATTACTGCATCAAATATCCTTGCACCTCTGAAATGAAGATTGGTAGCCTAAACAATAAAGGAAGTGAGTAGAGTTCCATGTTGTTTTCACCAATAAAGAAATGTCTCAAACTCAATATAAATATGTGTAAACTAGCTTCTTGACACTTGTGTTTCACGTATATCTCGAGTCATATAGTATACGACAAACAATCAATAGTCTATGTACTAACACTAAAAAAATTGAATATTTTACCTATTTTGTAATTTCTTAATACATATTTTTATCTATTCAGTTGTTATTTTGGCTTTATTTTGAACTTCACATATTCTAAGTTTTATTTTCCCATTAATGCGCTTTTCTTCACCAAAATGCGCATATCACTTTAATAAATTAGAAGTACTAAGCAACGTCACACCTTGAGAAAATATTTTACATATAAAAGTGACACAAATTCAAACTGTAGAAGTAGCAATACATTTCACACATTTATTTTGTCCTGACAGTTCTTCTACATGTTCCAAATACAAGCCTACTATTCAAAATCAATTTCATTTTCATTCTAGTCCGACATAAGATGATCAATTCATAAAGGTTATCAAACCACGTCAACAATTCAAGTCGAAATAAGCCAACACTATGGAGGAATAATTCATGGAAGAAGAGAAAGCGTAAACACATTCATTTAATATTTAAATTATCACTTTAGAGAATCCACTTATATAAATAGTATTAAAACAAAAGGAATGCCAAAATTTAACAAATAACATAACAACTGAATCATAAAAAGATACACATAAATTAAAATATTTAAAAACTATAGCCCAACAATATAAAATTGGATTAAAAGAATGAGAAAAGTGTATTTTTTCTTTAAGAAACTCGATGTCAAATTAAAGAAAATGTAAACACTTACCAAGAGTGCGTTTTGAAAATTTGGCTCTAATTACGAATTACCACAGATCAATTATATGAAATTTCTAATATCCAGATACCTTCATCTAAAAAAAACCACAAAAAGGAGAGAGAGAAAGCCAAACACAGATAAAATTGCTTTGCCTGTCCGATACTACCAAAAACTTACAAAGTGATTGTAGTGAATAAT